CGCGGCCACCCAGGACTTTAGCAAACTTCTCAGTTCAGTGAAAGAAATCAGTGACATTGTTCAGAGGTAGCAGAAAAACCGGGTTAGGAACACACAAGTCAAATCAATCACACAATGGGCCAAAGCCAACTGGGGAGAGAGTAACGTGTGGACTGACAAAAGGACCGGGGCGTTCAGGCTGGGGCTGCGCAAAGGACGCAGACTGTGACTGGGCACCCCAGCTCCAAAGGGCAGGGCTGTGTTCAGGAGGCACTTTCCACCCTCTGAACTCAGATCCCCTGTGTTTCATATAGTTGTAATCGTCTTATCTGTGGAGTTCTTGCCTTGTGGACTACAAGTCTAAATGCTGATGTCACGCCATGCCTTTTTAGTAATATTTTATTGTTCTGGACAGACCGTTAAGGCTGAAGCCAGGCTGATGGACACTGAGATGCCATCCTCCTCAGGAGGACTTTGTACTGCATTTTTGTCCCCTCTCTCTGCCCCCCTGTACAGGAGGAGGAGTGTTTGGATAGCAATATACCCACTGTGTTTCTTGGGAGAGCTGCAACATGTGGCCCTGGCCCAAGTCTGACATTTACCTGACATTAATGCAACAGATTTGGCGCTTGGGAGGGCAGGGGGAAAAATAATTAGTGTAAATTTTTTTTGAATGACAGAATGCTACAAGTGATGATTGCCCAAATTCTTCCTGTGATTCCACCAGCTGCCCCTTGTTTCTGTGTTTTCAGTAGATTCTCAGTGTTGTTGAGCTCAAATGAGTTGTTGGGTTCCAATGTTGGAGGCAGCACCTGCAGATCTCCCTCGGTAGCAAAACAGGAGTGGGGAAGCTTTCCTGTTGTTGTGCTATCACAGTCTCGTGATATCTGACATTATTTGGGCTGGTGTTTGGGGTGAGGGGTTGCAGAGCCGAGGGAGCTGGTGCTGAGCAAAGCATTGCTCCCTGAAAGCCAGAGGGTGGCAGTGAGGGGGGATGGCTTGGGATGAGCTCTGAGACACCACTGTGCCTCCAGCAGCCCTTTCGGCTGAACCTGCACGTTGCAGTGGGTGAGAACTGCTGTGCCTCCAGTTGAATTTCCAGTTTTTTGTTCTGTGAGCAGAGATGGGGCCTGGCCTCTGCCCTCCTGTGCTTTGAGGGGCTGTGCTGCCTGCCTTTCCGTGCCAGTGGAGCTCCCAGGGGAGAGCTCCAACGCCAGTACTCTGGGGTAAAACCATTAGTACCTTCATGGTGGTGTGGTTCCATCCAGCATCAAACAAGGATCTGTGAAGACTGCAGACACTTCCCTTGGGTGCATCTCCCAAGGAAAATGCCACAAAATGCTGCCAGCAGGACTCCTGGCCTTCCTTTCCAAGGTCCTGTGACCTTCCCAACTAATGCAGCACGGCTGGGAACTAACTGTGACTTGTGACAATAGTGAAAGAACAAGGTTTAGGGCTATTAACAGTGCAATTTAACTCCTCTTAACAGTTCCAAACATGAGAAAAACACATTTTTCATGTCCTGTTCCTCTGTAACTCTTGTGACCCCTCTTGTGTATCTTAAACACTAATTGCCTTCAATTGTATTTTATGCTGTTCTCTTGGGAACTGTTTGTTTTGTATATGATTTCTAGTAGTTCACTCGTGTGTGTTCACACCACTTCTCGCCCTCACAAACAGCCATGACTTAACACGTGACAAATGTTCAAAAGAAAATACACACTTCTGCCACAGGCTGCCTTTAAAAATGTAAGAAAAGAGAAAAAAAAAACAAACAACCCTTGGACTGTCTCTTTCCTGGAGGTACTGTTTTTACTTTGATAACATATTGTGCCACTATATTATACATTTGTATCTTGTTATTACACACTTTTGTAGACTTGTCTTTTTTACAGTGTGTAAATAGCTCTGTCCTTCATCTCTGTGATACTTAAGGGGGTTGTTTCCCCTTTAATTTAGTCCAGTACAGATTGTTTCTGTACACGACTTTCAATTCTTCCTCCTCTCTTTCTCTACTTTTCTTTTTTTTTTTTTTGATTTATTTTTTATTCCAGTCTCTCTTGTGTAGTGTATTTAAAAATAAATCAATGTTGAGGAAAACCTGTGTTTGTCTGTTAGCAAAGCTTTTCCAACCCAGTTACCTCCCCTTAGATTCAGCATCTGAAAACAGGGGTTCCCTGTTTGGGGGGTTCACTGTGGCCCTTTGGCACAGAAGGATCTGTGGAGCCAGGCAGCAGCCCCTTTCCATGTTCTTTTGATCTGGCTCTGGGAAGTCAGGAGAGAAAAGAGATGCACAGAATAAAGACTGTGTCATCACCTCTTTTGAATCAAAGACTTCACTGTTGTCTTCAAAGATTTAAATCAGAGATTTGACTAGACTTTTCTTCCTGTTAATGGTTTGTAATCTGTAATTCAGCTGCTCTTGTGGTTCCCTCCTCCTCTGCTATGAAATGACCCATGAGTTTCTCTCCTTATACGGTTCCCTCCTTCGTTTCTGGTTGCCCATTTTTATCTTCAGCCTTTCCAGCAAATCTGGAGGTTTCCAGGTGGGAGTGTGACCAAGATCCTGGCGAGGTCGATGTCCAGGCTGCTCTTCAAAGACTTGCATGTGGTGAATAGCTGTGGGCTGAGGGAAGATGAAGAAGCTTAACCTGCCCCTAAATACCACCACTCCTGGTGATCTCCATCTCCCCTGGCTTAGGGACCAGTCCATGGTGTCGTGGGAAGGCAGAGGCTGGGTTACCTGGCTGGGGAAAGCCCAGGGATCTGTGGTGGTGGGAGTGAAAAAGAGGGGATTAAAGGCTAAATTTAGCTGAGTACAGTAGGAGTTGATTTAACAGATCGATGCATTTAACAGTTTGATTGCTCCAATTTTCAAGGCTATTGAGCTTGAAAGTGAGAGTGCTCTGGGGGAAAAATAGCTGTGTTTGTGGTTTTGTTTTGGTTTTCCTGTCTTTGAAATTACAATGCTAGCTCTTTTAAGTTTTAAAGGAAAACTTGTCATCTTGCCTTTTGTTGAGAAGTTGTTTGTCACGAGATAAAATGTGGTCAATGTTTTAGGCTCTTTTCTCTTAAAAATCCCACGTTATTACAGACAGGCTGGTGTGGCAGCCTGGCTTGTGGAGGTGCTGCTGGGCCAGCAGTGCTTTCAGCTGTGTGGGAGTGCTGCCTGTCCCCCAGGATGGTCAGGGACAACCCACAGCCTCTCCCTTGGTTGACATTCGTCCTTCCACAATTGAAAAGAGAGGAAAACACATCTAAACACAGTGTCACCTCTGAGGAGAGGGATCCTGACATCACCTGTGCATCTAAGAGCAGGCTGGCAGCAGAGCAGGGGATGCTCCCTATCCAAGGCTGAGCACTGGCCTGGATGGGCTGCTGAGAATGATGCTCCTGAATCAATCCATGGTCAGTCCTGATGCCTGGGCAGTGCTGGTGACCCTAAAGCTGTGGATGAGGGACAGCCCTGCGAGTCCTTCCCACGTAGAGTCTGGACTCAGAGCTGTCCTCCCTGGCAGCGCTGCCCAGTGGGTGTTAAACAGTAAGTCCAGCTCAGCAGAAAGTTGACCTGCAAGCCAGTCCATGCTGAACATTTTCCCAGCAATTGCCCCCATGTTGAGGGTTCTGTGCTTGTCCTGCCATCCATTCTGCTGATAAAGGTCCCACCTGTGCTCGGGAGCCGCAGCACTGCCTGACCCAGTTATGATACACGAGCCTCTTCATGAGTCCCTTGGATGTGATTAAATCGGGCTCTTTCTCTGCAGAGGATCCCCTGGGCTTCTGAAATTTGCTGTTCCTGTTGTGTGTGTTTGTAGTGCTGCAGGTCTGCTCGGGGTGGAGGAAAGGTGAGGAGCAGCCTGTGGGAAGGGAGCTGATGGGCGGAGATGGGACAGGGACAAGGGTTGTGCCTGGGCAGGGGAGGATAAGGGGGTGTTTTATAGGGGGTCCCAGCAGTGGTGATGTTGGCAGCAAGTGTCTGCATCAGCCCTTGCTGCCTGGGCCCACTGGCCGTGTGTAGAAGAATCCAGTGCCAGTTTGGTGCCATCCCTGTGTGGGTTGGCTGGCACAGCAGACAGTGGTGCCAGAGCTCCAGGAATGTCCTGTCTTGTCCACGCTCCTCTCTGCCACCGGTGTGGCCGTTCCACAGTGGATCCAGCTCCTTACAGTTTGTTGTGCAGGTGGGTTCCAAGGTCTCCAGCTCACAAAGGTGTTGGGGGTCTGGGTGTCCCCTCAGGAGATGCTCCACAAAGGGACTGGGGAGGGGAGGATTTGGGAAGAGCTGGATGGGAGACACCACATCCAGTGTGCAAGGACAGGCTTTCCAGCCTCCTGGGGATCATTCTTTGCGTGTTCCCCCCTCCTTCCTCCCAGACACACCCCCAGACTCCAGGCAGTTATTTTCCATTCACTTTTACCTCCCCTCTCCCCGCAGTGTTAATCACCAAGGAGCAATAATGAAGAGCCTGGAATGCTGCCTCTTCCCAAGCACACCAGCCACCCTAAGGTGTGTGCCAAGGCGAGCTCCAGGGGTGCCACAGCCCCTCACCTGCCCCACATCTCAGCCTGACGGGAGCCCCTTTCCTGCCAGAGGGTGAGGAGGGGCATGGCATCGCCCCCGTGGCTCCAAGCTGGCCATCAAGGAGCCCTGGGGTGCAGGGGCTGAGCCCAGCTCTGTCCCACCTGCCAGGTAAGTGCTTCACTTTTCGATGAGTTCTACAGAGGTTATTGGACATCAATCAGCCTCGTTTTATGTATGCTTTTATCGTGCTGCTCTGAGCCTGTTCCTCTCCTGCTCTTGAGAGCAGTAGCTCAGGCATCCCTGTGGCCACAGCATTGCCCAGCAGTTTTCCTTTCCCTTTCTGCAGCAGCCAGTGCCACTTTTCCCTGCAATGATCCATCACAGCAAAGCCAGGGATTTACTGGCCCTCACTAACCCAGAGTTGCTCCAAAACTCTTTCCCCTTCCTCCCTCCCCATCCCTCCCCCGACTCCAGTGCAGGGTAAAATTGATCAGCGCGTATTTATTGATGGTTTGAACACTCAAAAGAAAGGGGGGAAAAAAAATAGTAGTTGCCATAGAAACATCAATAAAGCTCCTGTCTCCACTGAGGGATGCGAGCGCGGCGCCTGCGTCCCGATCCAAACCAGGGCCTGTGGTGGGGCGGAATCGAGAGGGATGGAGGTGGGTTTGGGGGTGCCTGGGGTGGGGGACTGTGTGGGCTCAGCCATCCTGAGTGCTGTTGGTCTCTGCTGTGGTCCCCACGGTGTGAGGTGGTCCTGGCAGCAGGGATGCAGGGAAAGGAAATACCCTTCCTCGCCTTCGCAGCTGGTGGTGTCCCCATGTGAGGACCAAATTCTGGCATCCTCTGTGCCCCTGCAAACCTGGAGTCTCTCCCGTTCTGCACCCTTCCTAGATGAGCCTGGTCCACTGTCTCCATCACTCCTCCTTGAACCCCATGGCTGATGTTTTCCCAGGGGTTCCAGCTCCTCCATCCAGCCTTTAGTTACTGCTCCTGCTGCCAGAGCAACTCACGCAGCACTGCATTAAGTGGTCTGTCTGCTTGATGGATATTACAATGCACCTCTTGCAGCCTGATTTAGGGGTTTTTTTAATCTTTTTACTCCCCCAACCAAGTCCTGCCACGGTCTCTGATTTTTGAGGGTGCAATTTAGCGCTTGCAAATCATCTCCCGGCTCATTTTTGTGCCTGCAATGAAATATCAGCAGTCGCTCAGTGTGTAAGTTGCTGTTAGTGCCTGCAGCAGGTAGTTAGAGCTCTGATTGCTGGTACCTCTGGCAGGCACAGAGCAAATACCCACGTTGGCAGAGCTCAATCTGCCCAAAGGAGGGGAGGGCAGTGTCGGGGCAGTGGGGTTTGTCTTGCACTGCCATGGCTGTGCTGGCTTTCGGGGCTGGTGATTCCCAAAGCTGCACCACTGGGGACTGGAGAGCGGGGAGACACTGAGAAGTCCTCAGTGGCCCTGGGTAGGTGCAGAAGTCCTTGTTTCAGCCCTTCTGCACCCAAATTCTACAGCTGGGAATAGGTGGGGATGAGGCCAGGAAGGAATTGGGAAGGGCCAGGCTTCCAGGCAGGTGCTGGGGTGGTGTGACAAGGATACCAAAGGTTGGTCATCGCCACCTCACCCTGGTGAGGACTGACTCTGGGGGCCAGGGAGCGAAAGGGGTGTTGGGGCTGTGGCAGGACTGGTGATGCCAGGGCAGTTTTCCGTGCTCATGCCAGGGATTGCTAAGGACAAGATTTTCTCAAACCCCGCTGCTCTGCCCTGGTTTTTGCACGCAGGAGCTGCCTCATGTAAGCGGCATCTTGACACTAAGCAGAATTTGCTGCCGGAGGGACTTTTCCTTAATAGGCAGGAGAGCAGCAACTCGGCGGAGAGCTCTGAAGGACCCTCTCCTCCCTAACAGCCAGCCCTGGATGGCAGCTACAGGCAGTCCCTAGGGACTGTCACCACCAAGATTATCCCACTGTAACCCTCCAGCCTTGCTGCCTGGCCCTACTGGCACTGCCTGTCCCGGTGTGCAACCCCTGCTCTGCCTGTCCCCGTGTGCCATCCCTGCTCTCTACCAGCACTGCAGCACTGGAGATCCAGTGCTCAGCCCTTTCCTTGTGCCCCTGCAAAACTGTCTGTGACCAGGAAAGGGATGCGGGGGCTTCTTTTTAAGGCACCCTCCTCTTCTTCTGTTGCACTGGTTGGGAACAGGGACATGAGAGCTAGAGCAGGGCTGTGAGCTGAGCAAACGCGGTGTCCCCCATCCCCAAGGCAATCCCAGCAGCAAAAAAAACCCCAATACCCTTTTGTCCGAGCAAACCCAGGTGAGATGGAAGGGAAGGACGGGACGGGGTGACCCGCAGGAGGGTGGGGGGTATCAAGTCCAAGCCCTCATCTCCCGAAGCGGAAGGTGAAGCCCCCTTTTTTCCTGTTGTAGCCGTTGAGCTCCTCCGCCAGGTTGCCCAGGGTGCCGCTGCGCTTCTCCCCCGCGGCGGGCAGCACCTCGGGGCCCCCCCGCCTGCCCGGCCGCTGCCCGGCCCCCGCCGAGCCGTAGCCCCGCAGCTCCCGGGCGATGCCCAGCAGCGCGTCCAGCTCCTCGCTTCGCCTCCGCTTGTCCCCTGCCCTCCAGCCGGCGCCCGGGTCCTCCGCCGCTGGTTGCCACCTGGGACCGAGCAGGGTCCCCTCCCCGGGGCGTCCCGGCTCCCGCCGCTCGCTGGGAGGGAAGCAGGTCCCCAGGCTCAGGAGGAAGAGGCAGGACAGCGAGTAGGGTGCTCTCATCTGGGGGAAGCACAGGGAGGGAAAGGCAGGTCAGTAAACCGCCGAGCATCCTCGGGCGGCGGCTGAGGCAGCAGCACGGGATGCCCTCGGCCCCCAGTTCCTCACCCCTGCTGCAGCACCCCCAAACCAGCCCTGCCGGCCCTGCTAGAACTTCACCCCACACCAAGCACCCACTGCTCCTTCTGCAGCCTCCACACCAGCACCCAGCCCCAGCGCGGGTGCTGGGGGAGTCTGAGCTCTCCCCACGCTTCCCTCAGACCTGCTGCCCTTCAGCAGCAGCAGCTCCGTGCTCACAAATCCCAGCCTTGCAGCGACTCCCCTGGTTCGCAGCCGGGAGCCAGCCGGGCTCTGCTGGGGAGGGGGGCTGAGAGCCGGGCAGGGCGAAGGGCTCCAGAGCTGCCCGCTCCTCTTGGAGGCACCTCGGGAGGACTTTGTGCATCACCCTGATTGTCCCCACGAGTAAGTCCTGCCCGCAGTGCCTGGATGACACAGGTGCAGAGGAAGGTGCTCGACATCCCTCTGCTTTATGGGGGTTGAAGGTGCCCTGGCAGTGGGGTCTGAGCAGAGTGGGAGTGAGCGCAGTCCTGGGTCATGTGCAGAGGAAGGTGCCTCTCACAAAGGCTCAGGAAGGGGAAATGGTGGTATTATTATTATTAATTATTATTATTATATTTATTATTTGCTGGAGATGTTGCCTTAAAAGTCACTGCAGCTTCTGGGGGCCACGGTTTCTGCCCTGTGCTTGCAGGGTGGGGGCTGCTGCAGGTGAGTGCTCCTCACTCCTATATAGGAGTGCTCCTCACTCCTATACCAGACCCAGCTGCACCAAAGCCCCTGCATGCCCTCCCCAGCACCGCTCAGCCCAGGGGCTTCACTTCTGGGTGCTCCCCGCCTCTTTCACACCTTGCTGTCATTTTGCTCTCTCTCTTTTTCCACCCAGTTGCCCATCGTGGAGGCAAATCGCTGGGTGCAGCCGGAGAAGAGGTGCTGAGTCCCTTCCTGGGGTCTGGGGGTGCCGGTGGGTCCCCATCTGCCTCCCACCAGCCTTTGCCTCCTCACTGGCTGTGGGTGTGAAGCAGGTATGTGGGGGCAGACAGACAGGCAGACAGACAGACAGACAGACACATGCCAGCCACTCACCTCTCTGCTCTGGCGCTGCCCAGCGCTGCTGGCCCTGGCCCTGCTCCGTGCTGCCCTGTGCCCAGATGAGCAGACTTGGGCCATTAAATACCCACCAGGTCTAATTGCTGTGTCACCTCTTGAACGTGTGGCCAAAGAGAGCAGAGGGTGGGAATCTCGGGAAGGGGGCTGGAGAGGGGGATGGGGGGGACAGGGGTTGGTGGAGCTGCCACAATGTGAGTACGGCAACACCGCTCATTAACCGCCTTCATTTGCTGCCTTGTTTGGAGCAGTGGCTGGGAGCTGGCTTTGAGCCCCTGGCAGCTGGGGATGCTGCTGGGAGGGAGGGTCTTGTCTGGGGGCACAAGTGTGTCCCCCCGTTTGGCTGGTGTGTCTTTGTGTGCAGCTCTTGGGGGTCCCAGACATATGTGTAAGTCTGGTGGGTACGCAGGCACCAAGGGAGACTCCTGCACCCCCAAATTCCCCCAGGGACTGGCCCCACGTGGACAAGCCCACGTGCTCCCATCCTCCCTGGTCAATGCATGCAGCCACCAGTGCTGAAACGTGGTCCCCAGTGCCTGGGACCCTGCTGTCCCCTCTGGGTCTGTCCTGGCCTGCGACAGAATGGGACATGGGGTGAGCAGCTCAGAGGGAAGGGGCTGAGGGCATCGCTTGGTGCTCTGCCTGTTAGAGCAGGGAGAGGGTTCCCTTGGCTCTGAGACCTGCCACCCTCCCAGTCCCCGCCCCAGGGCCATCCTGAGGTCCCACGGTGCCTCAGTTTGGGCTGGAGCTCTGGGAAACCTCCACTGCCCCCCGGTTCTCCCCAGCCCTCGTTTTGCAGAGCCGTTTTGGCTCAGTGATCGAGTTCCCGGGGATTCCATGCCACGAGCCTGGCACAGGGAAGGAGCTGTCCCCACAGCACAGCAGGGGCTGCAGCGATCCAGTGTCCCTCCCTTTGCCATCACCACGGCAGGTCCCTCCGGCGATGTCCCCACGCTGCGCCGCGGGACGGCCGCCGAGACGCTGGCTAACGATGAGATCCTTTTATTAAGGAGTTTAGAAAGTCCACATGTACAGCGTTGGACACACTCACACACGACCTAGAGAGACTTCACGGCACTGCTACACACCACGACCTGGCTCAGGGCTTCGCCGGGAAGGTACGTGGCCACACCCCGGACCCCCAGTCGCCCCTGCCCTCCCCTCTCCGAGGAGGTGTCACCGCGGACGGGTTTAACCTAATCCAGGGCCATGGAGCAATGTGTGCGCTCTTGGGAATAATCCTGGGAAATCCTGCGTCTTGGCATGGATTAAATACCTCTCGTGCAAGTCAAAACAAAGTCATTGGGGGGTCCCGGATGACACAGGCAGTTACCAAGGATGTGCTACCGACAAACCGATGTACGGTGTCCCCTCCCCGGCGTGGCAACACACACCAGTGGAGGGGTCTGGGGAGGGGAGGGCCTTCTCACTCAGCACTCGGCTCCATGTGCCTTCCTGGCCCAAAGGCAAGTGCTAGAAAACACAGCTACAGCTACTCCACAAAATAAATGAACGAGAAGTAAAGATGGGTGCAGGCGGGACCCTTTCTGGAGAGGTCCAGTGGGGCACAGGAAGCCCCTGGGAAGCTGTCAGGGCTCCTGCTCTTGAGCTGGGAAATGCCACTGCTGAGCTCCCCAAATTCCATCGTTCCAGAAAGCCTGACCAGCTGCTCTGGGCAGGGTTGGAGTAGGTAGAGCTGGTGCCTGCACTCAGAGCTCATCTTCACCTGAGGGCTCTGAGGAATGTCTCTGGAACAGGGAAAAGCAATCCCAATACATTGTTTGTCCTTGTTTTCCTTGCAAAACAGACAGACAGACACTCACCCAGCAGGTGAATGGGCTTGTCCAGCACAGGATCTGAGGTGGGAAGGCTTAAAAAAAGAAGAATCACGGAGGGCGGTACAAACCTGGCACAGCTGGGAAGCTGAGCCTTTGATCTCCCCATGCCTTAAACCCCTCTGGAAATGGGGACGCTGGGAGTTTTCCTCCCCTCCTCAGTCCATCCATCTGTCCAACAATGTTTCGGGGGGCCAGGGCTCTGCTCCCCACCGCTGCTGTAGCACAGGCAGAAAATGATGGACAGGGTGACTGGGTCCCTGCTGTCTCCTTCCCTCCCTGCTTCAGAGCCTTCTCACATTTGGTTCTAGTTTTCTTTTGGACAAAATCCCCCATTTGAGTCCTTCCAGGGAGCCAGCAGGAGACATCAGTCCCACACCCCATAGCGGCTCCTGCTTGGGTTGGCTGGTGCGTGGCACTGCTGCTGCCCAGTTATCAGGGCCCTGCAGATGCTAAGCCCCACTCGGGGCTTCTTTTTGCAAAACCTTAACGGGATTTGAGGAAATGAAAGGCTTTGGATATCTGCAGGTGCCGAGCCAGCGCGCGGCTCAGCCGGGGTGAAAATGAATGCGGGTCCCCGGGCCGGCAGTGAGCGGAGGGGGCTCACATGGGGGATGTGTCTGTGCTGCCCAAAGCCAAGGGTTTGGGGAAAGGTCACAGCTTTTGGAATTGGCCGACATGAATCCCAGTGAGTCTGGTAGGGAGGGAGGAGCTGCGAAGTGCAGGCAGAGCCGTGCTGGGACGTGAACCTTCCTCACCTCCTCCTCCTACTTGCTGTGCTCCCCATTTCTCCAGTGCTGCCAAAACAGCTCCATGCCATGCTCAGTTCTGGGTGACCATCCTTGCAGCACTGCACCAGCTTGCTTTGGGGTGTTCTGACCCAAGGGGAGGCTCCAGGAGGCAGGACAGGGATGACAGGGACTAAGGAGCTGGTAGTCGTCCCTTCCCAGCTGTGTTGCTCTTCCAGGGGCAGAGGTGAATGTTCTGTAGTCCAGAGAAAGAATCACTGGCACTGTCAGGCTGACCCAGCTGAGCCCTCCCCATCACTAGTAGCACCATGGGGGGAGCTGGAACTGTGGAGCAGCCTTGTCCCAGTCTGGGGGACTCTGGAGGTCTTGGGGCTCCCCGTGGCAAGTGCCCCCAGTCACTCACCACCTTGGTGAGGCCACAGCCTGGAGTCTGTGCCCGGAGCAGAGGTGATCAGAGGTGCTCAGCCTACCTGGGCTACTGCATCCCTCCCTACCTCCAGGCAGCCACTTCTCTTCCTTGCAGGACCCTGCTGGGCACTGTTCCCCAAATCCTTGCATCCCACTGCCCTCTCTGGGGCATGAGCACCAGCCATGGGTCACGCTCTGGCCAGGACAGAGCCATTCTGGCTGCAGTGGAGCCATGGCAGTGGGAAGCAAAGGTCCAGCAATGTCCGTGGATGCCTGGGAGATAAAGTCACCCTCACTGGGGGCAGGTGCTCCCCAGAGGCCCCTCAAAGACGGGCCAGCCCTCGGGGAGGATGGGGAGGATGGCAGGTGGGGGGCACGGGGCTGCAGGGTGGTGGGGAAGGGCAGGGGGCTGGGCACAGTGTGGGGGGGCTCCTGCCATCCAGCTAATTCTCTTCCCGGATGGGCCGGATCTTCATCTCGGTGAATTTGAGGGAGTACTGCCAGCCGGTCCAGGAGGACCACTCGATGCCATCGGCGTAGGAGCTGTGGTGGCCCTTGAGGTACTGCCCGTTGAGGTTGGAGGTGTGGCAGTTGCGGTACCACCAGGCACCGTGGTAGAAAGCGGCGCAGTTGTTCTCCGAGTGGTCGTTGTCCAGGTCCTTGGTGGTGAACTTCATCCCATTGTGCTTCAGGAGGGAGTCACCTGTCCCAGGGAAAAGGAGATGTGATGAGCCCTTCCTGCGCTTGGGCCAGCTCCCTGCCCCATGGGATTCTCCTAGGCACCACAGTGGGATTCCTACAATGGGTCTCCTCCTGCAAAAGCCTGTTAACTGCCTCCAGCTCCCTGCAGCCGCAGGGATACAGCTGGTGCCACTGCCAGAGGAGACTGGAACACCTCAGCAAGGGGTTTGGTGGCTGTGGGCTCCCCTTGCCCCATAGGACCATGTGTGTCCCCCCACTCTGCTGCCTCACCTGCTGTCCCCGAGTAGTCGGTGACGGTGATGGGGTACCCGTCCTCCTCGGGGTCCACAGAGAAGAGCCCCACCCCAAAGCTGCCATAGTGGGCGAAGGCAGTGCCGTTGTCAAAGTCCTCCAGGTCGATGCGGAGCTCATAGGTGCCCTGGACTGTCAGCATGTGGATCCGCTTCAGCCCTGCAGCAGAGAGAAGGGGTGAGTGCAGGGATCCCTCTGGGGATGGGGTGGCCAGTGGGCCCTGGGGAGGGGACCTGGGGTGGGACAGGGAGTGGTTCCCACCCTCCATCCCTCACTCTGGCTGCACAGCCAAGGGCACACGCTCAGCTTGGGGTCAAACAGCCCCATTGCCTCCCTGCCCTGTGCAGCCCCCTGACACCCTCCCTGCCTGCCCAGCCCATCACTCCCAGGACATGGGCGCTGGCCGAGGGTGTCTTGGTGTGCCCTCCTTTGCAAAGGAAACCCTGGACCTCTTCAGGGGACCCCAGGATTTGCCAGCCCACCCCAGGAGTGAGCACTGCCAGCCCCACACACCTAACCAGTGCTCTCCTGTCAGCTTCCCAAAGCCATCCCGGTAGGCTTCCCAGCCACGGAAGAAGTTCACAGAGCCATCTTCCCGCCGCTGGAACACCTGGGGAGACACACAGGGCATCAGTTGTGGGGCTGCTCCAAGCCCATGCACCTCGGGCAGCCCCCATGCTCCCCACCATGCTGCCCACCACTCCCTGCCACTGCCTGATTACATACAGGCACAAATTAAACCCCATCAGCCCAGTCATTACACAGGGATGCTCAGTCATTATACAGGGATGCTGGGGAGAGGTCCCCAGGGAAATGCTGGATCATCACCTGCCAGATCCCAGGGTGGGTGAGTCAGTTCAGATAAAACCCTTCACAGGATCCTCCCTCTGGAGCAGAGCCCCAGAAACCTGTGGCATGCTCCTGTGGGAAGGTGTCCTGTGCCCCTGGGAGTGGTGAGCACACTGCACCCACCTCCAACCAGCCTGGGTCTGCTGTGGCACATGGGAGCAGAGGTATGGACAGACG